CAGATCCGTTCGACACCTTGTCCATGAACTGGATGGCGTACAAGATACACATCAGCGGGAACATGTACAAGTCGATCTTCCAGACAAGCCTGCGATCTTCTTCCTCAGTAATTTTCAGTTCCCGCGACTCAAGTGCCAGCCGCATCGCGTCGTCGACATTTCCGGTCACCTTAACTTCTTTCCCGGAGGGTGACACAATGGTCGAAATAACGTTTTCAAGGTCGCCGATGTCCGCGCTGGTGATCGAAACCACATTGCGAACTTTTTTACTTTGGTCCAGAGACTGGGTTTCATCTGTCTGGAAGTTTATATTGTCATCGACGGCCTCTTTATCGTTCGATCCAAGATTTTGACCTTTCATGGCTGCTGAATCTTGTCGCAATTACTGATGATACTGACAAGCTCAATCCTAACGCTTCCGCTACAAATATAAATGGAGCATAAATAATCTTTAGAAAGCCGTCAAGGCAATTCTCGGAAAACGTTTCTTATCACTATGGAAAGATTTTATTTGACCGGCTGAACACCCGCGGAATCTTTCCCCATGACTAGTCATCGCTCTATCGGAACACATCAAGAAATAACTCGAAAGGAAGATTTTCGAAAAGTTTGGGACGAGATAGGACGCTGCGGGCTCGTGCGGGCTCATGTGGGTCCGAAAACATGTCATAACGTGCTAGTGTGAAAAAACTGTCGACAAATGTTCTAAATTACATTTCCTTGCATCGGGTATGCCCGACGATGCGGCTGTATCAAGTGCCTCTCCCGGGCTCGTCCGGCATCCGAGATCGAAGGCACCTCGCGACAAATTCATATCTGATATGAGTGACCTATATAGTCGTCAGAATGTACGGAAGTATTGCAAAATCCCACATCGTTATTAACGGTAAAGAAGTAGTTCCAAAGATGCGGTGAATTTTGCGTTGGATCAATGGCTTTTGAGCTGCGAACATAACTGGGCGATCGCCAAGATCTAGCCGATAAGAACTTTAAACTATCGCAAGTGGAAGAAACTCGAATCATCTCCATGTAAGTGATATAAGATATCGGGACTCTAGAGAAACCCTCATACGAAAGTCAGTCGGTCGAATACAGGCGAGCCTCAAACGACGCACAGTGATCGCTCGTCAAGGATCCACATGAACGAAACAGAGCCACTATTGGCTCAGCAGATCGCTCAAAGTGAAACGGTGTGCGATGACAACACGGCGGTCGCGGCGCGTCGCGCTTCGGTCAGGTCCTACACTCTTTCTGGCGGGAATGCCAATAGTGCTGACAATGGATCCACCGTGCAACATGACGATATGCTGACTCCTGCAAGAGCCAAAGTCATGGTCGCTACGCTCTTTGTAGGTAGCTTCCTCGCGGCGCTCGATATGACGGTCGTCGCTACGTTGCTTCCCAGCATTGCATCGGACCTGTCGGCAAGTTCCCAGATGTCGTGGATTGCTACCTCTTATCTTCTGTCTTGCAGTTCCTTCCAGCCTATGTACGGAAAACTGTCGAATGTGCTAGGTCGTCGCGAGCTTCTGGTTACTTCTAACTTGGTGTTCGCGCTTGGGTGTTTCCTATGTGGCTCTAGCTTTTCGAAGGACATCTGGACCCTCTCTGTGGCCCGTTTCGTGGCCGGAATTGGAGGTGGTGGTATGTCCACACTTATGACCATCGCCGTCAGTGATATTATTCCTCTGCGGCAGCGGGGTATCTACCAAGGCATTGGGAACATTTTCTTCTCCTTGGGTAGTGCGTCGGGCTCTATTCTTGGCGCTGCTCTGCAGAGAACCGTTGGTTGGCGTTGGGCGTTCTTGGTACAGGTGCCTGTTGCGCTAGTCAGCGCACTGCTCGTGTATCGGATCTTTAGACTCCCAGTTCATTCGCCTGGCCGGGGAGTTGTATGGCTTGAGATCAAGCAAACAGGATCCTTTCAGTGGTCGCGGATCCCGCAAATGATCGATTTTATTGGCTGTGCTTCTTTGGTCGCCACTATGCTTATACTTATGGTTGCCATCACATTTCTCTCAGATCCTTCAAGCCTCGGACTTGCCAAATGGGCGGCGCTGCTGGGTACCTTAGCCTTGGCCGCTACTATCTTCATTCGCACCGAACTTCGGGTCGAAAATCCAGTAGTTCCCTTGCACCTAGTGTTCCGCAACATAACAGTGTTGTCGTCATCGCTTACAAACTGGTTTCATACAATGGCCATGTTCGCTGCCATGTACTATATGCCCGTCTTCTGGCAAAGCGTCTACAAGCTGAGTCCATGGCAGGTGGGGCTACGGTCTATCTCTAGCTTTATTGGTATTTCCATCGGATCTGTGGCATCTGGTATTTATATGAAAAGGACTGGCAAGTATCGAGCCTTTTCTTTGATACTGTACAGTCTTTTTGTCTTTGGGATGCTAACCCTTCTCCTCTCGACCTATTCTCCTAAACCATTCGGGTACGTGGATTACATCATTATGTTTCTACCAGGTCTTGGGTACGCAACCATGCTCACTATCACTTTGTTAGCCTTGATCGCAAGTGTCGACTTCGTGCATCAAGCCCAAGTCACTTCAATTCAGTACGCTTTCAGAGCCACCGGTTCAACATTTGGAGTATCCATAGCGGGTTTGCTGTATCAGGCTGGTCTTGAATACAAGCTCAATAGTACTGTTTTAAAGAATCAAGAAATGCTTTCTAAGTACGGTGTGGAACAGTTAAGGAAGTGGTGCCAAAAAATTATGGAAGATAATCTTTTCGACACGTCCTTTGACAGCACTCTACAGAGCGCCTCTACTGGATCATTTATGTTCGGCAGTCAAGCTGCTATTGGCTTTGCCTTAATTGCGGCAGCGTTCGGTCTTTTTGCGAGTTTCTTCACGAGAGAACATGTCTTGCATACATCCGTTCCAGGAAACTAATGTAGAAATAAGCTTATCGAGGCTTATCGGAGTCGGTGATCGACACGTCCTTAAACTGTTCACTTAATTCGTTCATAATTTGTCAGGATGTAAAATATATCAAATGTCAAACACTTGAATCTCTCCGCACTTATCTTGATATCTTGACTGCTACAAAGTTGGTCAAATATCTCCTCATATACGCTTTCCCTAAACTCACCCATCGAATAATTATTAACTTGGGGTGAGATGTGGTCAGATGTTCTCACCTTACGGCATCCGTTAGTCTACTCGTGGTGCGATAAGTGGTATCATGGTGCCGTGGTAATCACTGAGAGCATTGGGCTTCGATGGTTTCCAGTTATGTTTAACATGAACCGTCAGTTCGATTCACTTTTGTTTTAATCTGTCATCGGGACACGTGATAACGTAATTTGACGATATCACTTCCTAGCTATCTCTTTCTAACAAGTATATCTAACGAGATCTTCCCATATGACGATGTCAGACGACGACTTAGCTGGAATGCGCGGGTCCTCCTCAGTTTGATCAACATCAAAAGAGGTTGGTGCACTCTGCGCGTTTCCAAGACATAATGTTTGAACAGCAGGGATAAGAACGAAATCTGCTCAGAAATGGAAGCTTATTCTCCATCAAAGGGCCTGAAGAAAACGTCATCTATTAATTCCAATCTCCCAGCTCCAAAAAATTAGCTCGCGAACCGTTAAAAGCTTAACTGTTGCTTAGTACTGTTCCTGTACCCCCTCTTCCAGTCACCGCTACGTCAACTACAAAATCTCTGTATATGTCTGGAAGCCGGGAGGGAGATACGGTGAAGGACGCTAGTAGAAGGCGCTGGCCATCCTTCTAGCGCACCTTCTCATTAATAATGCCTTGGGCCCTGCAATCGAGCATCTTGATGGTTGGACTGGGTCTGTTACGTTTCAGAACCTAGTACCTGCCATCACTACATCGAATATGACATCTTGAACGGCGGTATTTGAAGGCAAAGCGCTAAGGATCTAAACCACCCGGGGGCAAAACAAGTCTTTTGAGCATTAGAAGTACTATTCATGCTCGTGCCTCTTTATCATAAGCAAGAATTAGCCGGCCCTCAGGATACGTGAAGTAGCGAAGATTCACCGGGCCGGAAAGTAAGTGGCCCGACTTATATCTCATACAAAGTGATGTGCCCTTGAAACTTAGGCATCGGGATTCCCTGCGTTAACGTGATGCGATATCACAGTCTTCGACTCCACTTCAAGGATATGAAGCTGTTCTAATGGCTGGTAAGTCTTCCCAGCCTCGCTTAGGTACTGGACCAAAGTCTCTACCGCTTTGGTCATGCTATTTCAGCGAGATCTGGAATCTCTGTGGTTGTAAGGCTGACCACTGATTTGGTTGGTGGTATTTAGTATTACCTCGACTTTTGACCATCCCGTGGATAGCAAGCAGCCTGCATGAATTCTGCACACTACTGATAAAACATCCAACTAAATAATCCCAGCTGTGTGAATGAGACCAATTAGTTGCGTGCAAGTTTGGCACACGCGACTATTGAACAGTACTATTACGTCGCTTCCTCTTTAAACGATTACGGTTGGCGCGAAGAATATCAGATCAAGATCTAGAGATTAAGCTTTAAGGGCCTAATTAAAATGATAAGGCTCCTTAGCCGCGCAACTTTCCTAAGTCTAAATATTTAGCTTGAAGCTAAATTAGTATGGGTTGTTTAAGAGACAACGGGTCGTTTTCACTTAAGTTGAAAGGCATGCTCCGCATTTTATTGTTTTCCTTCAACAATAAGAGAGTAACTGTATCTGATCATCCTGAGCCTCAGTCACTAACTGGACATTTAAAAGATGTTTCAGTCAAGAAACTCAAATCCTAAAGCCATGAGGTTAAACTTACAGACCTCTATGATCAGAATTGGAAGGCAGCACTTGACCCTTGAGATTTCAAACACGTTTTGATGAGCGACAAGCTGTCCATAGGGATTTCCCCCAGCACGGTGTTTAAACAAGGTGTTCTGACCAATGACCTCACGGCGGAGCAAGGGAAACTCTTAGGGGCAAACTCCGGGCTGTTGAATTTCTAATAATGGTGGTGTTCCATGCCTGTAAGAATGAAGTCAGGGGGGAAGCTTTTTTCCTCCTGCGGCCTGGTTTACGGCGTTGGGGAACAGAGCGGTCATCCGCGTAGTGGCGTTACAGTGAAAGAACGCCCGTGGGTAAGCTTGCGATGCTTTTCGTCACGAATGGTGGATGAAAGACCTTTATAGCGATCGTGGGATAAAGAGACCTCTCAACGATTTACCTTCCCCATACCTCACGGCTTACGTTTACGTCCAGATTTCGGCCTCAATTTGCTGTCTACCGTTCTGACAAGATACATACAGGAAAGCGCGACACAGTTAAAGAGTGACTTCGTGGTAGTATTATTCGCGGGGTTGAGTCGACCGATGCTGTTCCATACCGTAGCGAAAGTTACGGTGGCTACGTTCTTTTTCCGCTAACACTACGTGAGGATGTCGAGCCCGGTGCCATGGGATTTCAGCTCATTGCGACAACGGAGAGACAGTGTAGGTGAACTGTGGGAATCTGTAGCGGCACGAGTATCGTCCCATGTCTTTAGTATACTTTCATCGTGGTAGGGGCGTAAACCTTCTCTGTGGAATCACCGTTAATTTAGTATATATGCCAATAACGCTTGCGTAAATCATGCCCTCCGAATGTTTTCTTCCGGCGAATTTTCCTTTACATGACCTGAGGCGAGTCTAATGACCGACCACTCTGAGAATAGTTTCTTGGGCTCTGTAATCGTGCGGTGGCTGACTCTTGTTGCTTCATATCGCCGGCGTCTTCAAGTTTTTCAACCATGCCGCTGTCACCTAATACTGTCATCCATAGTATCCAGTACAACAATGTAAGGCTTAAATTCAAGAGCTAGGGCAGTCATGACAGTGGCTGAAGTACACGATATAAATCTGAACGACTTGATGGTCATTACTAGATTTCCGGCCCGTTTTTGTTGTATCACAGCACTGCCAACAAAGCTGTCATCTTTCTAAATTAGGTCGGTGAACAAAAATTCAAGCTATCATCGAATAGTCTATCTGCATAGAATATTAATTAATGTACGGGTCAAGTGGCGCTTCGCGAACAGAGCACGCCGGGTATCTTTGAGTTTCCCTAGATTAACGCCAAAGGCAAAACGAAAAAGAGGCTAAAACAGATCCTACTGGCCGCACCCTCATAGGTTGAAACACTGGGTGAGCCTGTGGATCCAGTCTTGCTTGAAGTCACGGACACGGAAGGCAGAGATTGTGTTTCTGGCATAACGGTCGTTGTTTGCGAGAGCCTGGAAGAAGAGTTGGAGCCCAAACCGGATTCTGAGTCTGAGTCAGAGCCTGGGTTTGCACCAGCCCCTGAACCTGAACCAGAGCCCAAACCAAAGTTAGCGCCAGGCTCTGAACCAGGGTTTGCAGCAGAACCAGAACTAGAAACCGAGTTTAAACTTGAACCAGATCCTGAAGCAGCATCAGCACCAGATCCTGATGGAGCGCTGGTCCAAGCAGAAGTGCTAGAGCTGGGGCTGGAGCCGGAGCCGGAGCCACCTCCTGAGCTAAAACCAAACCCCGAACCAGAGTTTGCAGCAGATCCAAATCCTAATGGAGAGCTGGTCCAAGCAAAAGTGCTGGAGCTGGGGCTGGAGCCGGAGCCGGAGACAGCTTCTGAGCTAAAACCAAACCCCGAACCAGAGTTTGCAGTAAGCCCAGATCCTGAAGGAGCGCTAATCCAATTGGAAATGCTGGAACTGGAGCCGGAACCAGATCCTGAGTTGACCCCAGGTCCTGAACCAGACCCTGCACTTGAACTTGACCCTGGGTTAGCTCCAGCGCCTGAGCCAGAGATAGACGCGGAGTTGGAGCCAGGTCTTGTGGGGCTGCTTGAAATTAAACTTGAAAGGGAACTCATACGTGAAGAAATGGAAGAATGTATGACTCCATCCCCAGTGGCCGCGCTAGATTTTGTAGTTGCTGACAAACCAGATGATGTCACAGGGTTCAATGTGCTTTCTGAAGGGCTTGTTGCGGTGGCCGAGCTGCTGAAATTGCCATAATAGGCAGATACAGGGGTCTCGATGTGGTACACTGTTTGAGTAGAGGCAAGACCATTTGAAAGAGTGAAGGTCACATAACTAGTCGAGTAAGTGGAAGTGAAGCTACCGGTCCATGAGGTGTATACGACTGATCCCGTCGACGGGGTTTCCACGTAGTAGACAGTTTGTGTGGTTGGATTGCCGTCGCTACCAGTGAAAGTTGTTGCTCCGGTAGAGTAGGTAGAGGTAAACGCTCCGGTCCGGCCAGTATACTCAGCAGCGGCACTGCTTGGAGTTATCACGTAATACACGGTCTGCGTGGTTAGAATTCCATCCGATCCGGTGAAGGTGGTGGCACCAGTCGAGTAGGTCGTGGCAGCGGAGACATCACCTGCAGTGTCCATCGTGGTGGCTACAGCTGGAGTCTCGACGTAGTAAATGGTCTGCGTGGTTGGAGTACCATCCGATCCGGTGAAGGTGGTGGCACCAGTTGAGTACGTGGTAACAGAAGAGACATCACCTGCTGTGAACATCGTGGTAGCTACGACTGGTGTCTCGACGTAGTAGACGGTCTGCGTGGTTGGAAGGCCGTCGGATCCCGTGAAGGTAGTGACACCAGTTGAGTACGTGGTAACAGAAGAGACATCACCTGCTGTGAACATCGTGGTAGCTACGACTGGTGTCTCGACGTAGTCGGACGGTCTGCGTGGTTCGGAAGGCCGTCGCTACCCGTGAAGGTAGTGACACCAGTTGAGTACGTGGTAACAGAAGAGACATCACCTGCTGTGAACATCGTGGTAGCTACGACTGGTGTCTCGACGTAGTAGACGGTCTGCGTGGTTGGAAGGCCGTCGCTACCCGTGAATGTAGTCTTGCCGGTTGAGTATGTCGTAGCAGCAGAGACACTGCCAGCAGTGTACAT